CTGGTCCATCGAGAGTTTGGTGGATCTCTCCACCATGACGATCGAGGAGCTGGTAGGGCGGCTGAAGGTCGTCGAGGAGCGCGGCGATGAAGCCGACAACCGTGCTGGCGGCGAACTACTGCTCACCAGGGAGTAGTGGGACGCGCAGCTTCAGCAGCGCGGCCGCGATGGCTCTTCCGGTAGTGGGGGAGGCGCCCCCACGGGAAGCAGAGGTCATGGCAGAGGCGGAGGTCGCACCCAGAGCGGCGGCGGCAACCGCAGTCGCAAGCCAAGCCGGGCAGGGCGAGGCGCTGGCAACGGTGGCAAGTGCCGCTACTGTGACATGCCAGGTCACTGGATCCGGGATTGCCACAGGAGGAAAGCCGACGAGGCAGCCGCGGCAACGACAAACCTCGTCCAGGCTGACATGGACGGCGGGCCGACAATGATGCTGGCAAGAGTCGAGCCCGTGCAGGAGAGCACAGCGTCTCTCGCGACCACGACTCCGACAACCACCCATTCTGTGGAGGAGGCACGGAGCCCGTCCATGGGAACCATCACTCCAGTGACAGGCCACACCTCGACAACGACGTTTTCGGGGCTTGTCGACTGGGAGGCGATGAAGGCTCGGGTGTGGGGGAGCCACACCCCGACGAGGGCGTCCCTGAATTCGGGACCCGATGAGATCGCGCAGGTTGGCGCGGCAACGACGCATATGGCGGACCATGCTCCGACCATGATGCTGGCGACCATCGACTCCGTGCAGGAGCGCACGGAGTCTCAGGTCAGCCACGCCCCGACAACAAAGTGTTCGGGGTCCATCGTGTTGACGGGAGATGGCTCCCTGACAACGGCATGTGTGTGCGGCTACGTCTTCCTCAACGAGGAGAGAGCCGTGACCACACCCATGCTTGCAGGCGGCAAGCAAAGTGAGGGTTGGTTCCTCGACACCGGCGCCACGAACCACATGACTGGTTCGATCGACGCATTCGCGGAGCTGGACCGCTCAATCACCGGGAAGGTGCGGTTCGCGGACGGATCCATGGTGGAGATCCACGGGCGCGGGACCGTCGTCTTCGCCGACAAAGGGGGTGATCACAGGGCGTTCACGGATGTCTACTTCATCCCGGCGCTCACGAGCAGCATCGTGAGTGTCGGACAGCTCGACGAGGGCTGGTTTGACATCGGCATCCGGCGCGGTGTTCTCACCGTGCGCGGCTAGCAGAAGAGGCTGCTCATCGAGGTAACCCGCTCGCTGAACCACCTCTACAATTTCTTCTTTTGACCCGTGCATCCTGTGTGCCTTGCCGTGGGCCATGTACCCGACACGTGGCGTTGGCATTCCCGGCTAGGACACCAGCACTTTGACGGGTTACGAAAGATGGCACGAGGCAACCTCGTTCGTGGGCTACCTCACATCGAGCACGCTGATGAGCTGTGTGATGCATGTCTTGCGGGGAAGCAACGACGTTTGCCGTTTCCCGAGAAGGCACGCTATCGGGCGCAGAAACCCCTGGAGCTGGTTCACGCGGACCTCTGTGGCCCAATCACCCCGGCAACGCCAGGAGGGCGTCGCTACATCCTGCTGCTTGTCGACGACTATAGCAGGTTCATGTGGGTGCTGCTCCTCGCCTCCAAGGACGAGGCGGAGCAAGCCATTGTCAAGCAGCAAGCGGCAGCAGAGGTCGAGTGCGGCCACAAGTTGCACGTGCTGCGCACGGACCGTGGCGGCGAGTTCACGTCGGCCACGTTCTACAAGCACTGCGACGAGAAAGGGATGCAACGTCACCTCACAGCCCCTTACTCGCCGTAGCAAAATGGCGTCGTCGAGCGGAGGAACCAGATGGTGCTCGGGATGGCACGCTGCATGCTCAAGGCAAAGCAAGTGCCAAGCACGTATTGGGGGGAGGCCGTGCTCACGGACGTCTTCATCCTCAACCGCTCCTTCACAAGGAGCGTCAATGGAAAGACGCCTTATGAGGCGTGGTACGGAAGGAAGCCCGATGTACGCTTCCTCCGCACCTTTGGCTGTGTCGGGCATGTCAAGATGGCACGCCCACAGCTGAAGAAGCTCGACGACAGGAGCACCCCAATGGTGTTCATGGGCTACGAGACGGGCTCTAAGGAGTACAAGATGTATGACCTCATCTCAAAGCGTGTGCATGTCTCTCGCGACGTCATCTTCGACGAAGACGCGCGATGGACTTGGGAGGCGTCGGGGGAGGCCCCGGCAAGCAGCTCCTTTACCGTGGAGTACCCGATGTACTCTACGACCCCGGGAAGCAAAACCCCGGGAAGTGCCACTCCTGGAAGCTCGGGAGGTGTGGATCCGGGAACAACAACCCCGAGAACACCGTCCCCGGGTATGGTGTCGTCGGACACCATAACGTCAAGCAAGATGGGTCCCGGGAGGCAGTTCGCAACCCCGCCAACGGCGATGTCGGAGCTGTTCGACGCCGATGACAGCGTTGGCGCCCCCCACAGGTTTCGGCGCATGGGGGATCTCCTCGGTGAGGCTGCGGCAACACCGCAATAGCCCGAGGATGAGGACGCAGATGATGACGAGGTCCTGCATCTGATGGCTGGCGAGGAGCCGACCACGTTCGCGGAGGCCGAGCAAGAGGAGTGCTGGCGCCACGCGATGCTAGATGAGCTGGCGTCGATCAACGACAACGCCACTTGGACACTCACCACACTGCCTGCTGGGCACCGAGCCATCGGGCTCAAGTGGGTGTTCAAGGTGAAGAAGGACGAGCACTGCGCCATTGTCAAGCACAAGGCGCGCCTCATCGCAAAGGGCTACGTGCAGCATGAGGGGGTGGACTTCGAGGAAGTCTTTGCTCCGGTGGCAAGGCTGGAGTCGGTGCTACTCATCCTTGTCGTGGCCGCTCACCGCGGGTGGGAGGTACACCACATGGATGTCAAGTCGGCGTTTCTCAACGGCGACCTTAACGAGGAGGTGTATGTCACCCAGCCACCCAGGTTCGTTGCAAAGGGCCATGAGCAGGGCGTGTATCGACTACACAAGGCCCTGTATGGTCTCCGGCAAGCCCCAAGGGCGTGGAACACCAAGCTCGATGCAAGCCTCGCATCCCTTGGGTTCTCACGCAGCGCTTCTGAGCACGGTGTGTACTCGCGTGGCACCGCGAACACGCTGCTCATCGCCGGCATCTACATCGACGACCTGGTCATCGCCGGGGCAGAGCCTGAAGAGGTTCAACGCTTCAAGGGAGAGATGCATCGTCTCTTCAGTATGAGCGACCTCGGGCTGCTCCGGTACTACCTCGGGCTAGAGGTGAACCAGGAGGGTGGTTGCATCACGATCACGCAGACGGCCTACGCCACCAAGATGCTCGAGCGAGCAGGCATGAAGGACTGTCATGCCGTGCACGCTCCAATGGAGGCACGGCTGAAGCTCAGCAAGGAGAGCTCCGAGAAGGCGGTGGATGCTACACTCTACCGTAGCATCATCGGGAGTCTCAGGTACCTCGTGCACACCCGACCGGACATCACGTTCGTTGTCGGGTACCTGAGTAGGTCCATGGAAGCCCAGGCAAGCGATCACCTTGCTGCCGTCAAGCACCTGCTCCGGTACATCGCGGGTACGCTCACGCATGGATGCGTGTACCGTCGTGGCGATGGCGAGAGGTTGGTCGGGTACAGCGACTCTGACCACGCTGGTGACATGGACTCCCGGAAGAGCACCTCGGGCATACTATTCCTTCTCGGAAATAGTCCCATCAGCTGGCAATCGATGAGGCAGAAGGTTGTCGTTGTATCTTCGTGCGAGAAGGAGTACATCGCGGCAGCTACAGCGGCCTGTCAAGGCATTTGGCTTGCTCGCCTTCTCGGCGAGATGCTGAATCAGGACACCGCCCCTGCGCTCATCTTCGTCGACAATAAGTCGGCGATTTCCCTCTGCAAGAATCCAGTGCTTCACGACCGCAGCAAGCACATCGATCTCCGCTATCACTTCATACGTGACTGAGTCGAGAAAGGCACGGTGATAATGGAGTTCATCAGGACTGGTGAGCAGAAGGCGGACATCCTGACCAAGTCACTTGGTCGTGTCCGGTTCCAGGAGCTGCGCGACAAGGTCGGGACCATCAACACCAAGCTTCTTCGACAAGGTTGAGGGGGAGAATGTTGGGTCAACCTTGGTCAGCAACATTTACACAGATGCATGCATGGTTGCATGTCGGCAGCAGTAGCTGTTATTTAGCAAGGTAGTAATGGGCAGGTCGGCAGCAGCAGTAGTTGCGTGCCCTACTAGCTAAGATGTCAGGGTAATGTCAGGATAGAATTTAAGGATAACATGCACTTAATGCATGGCAGTGCGGTTAGGAATTTTCTTCCTTGTTCACACTAGTAGTACTAGTCCAGATACACTATATCTATCAATGCCGGTTGTGGCATAGTCGGTTTGGCAACCTATAAAAAGACCTGTGTACCTCCGGTTGTAAGCATTCCATTCTGATCAATACAAGGCAATCAGCCTCCGGTACTCCACTCCGGTGCTTGTGTGTGTGCGTTATAGACTGCACTAGCTGCAGTGTTTTTTCGTATATCAGTACACCAGTTCAGTACACCATTGGTAGTTCGGGCCAACAGGCTTTGCTACACCTACGTGACTTTACGTGCAAAGGCGGGTTACGAGGTGATTTGTCAGGTTTTAGGTCTAGCATCATTTTTGCAGATGGAGCGACGAAGAACTTCTTTCTGTAGCCATCAGACACGAGGAGCGCGCGAGAAATGGAAAATATCTAGGCAAACAGCGCGGGAGCCACCCGCGGAAACAATCCCGTGCGCACACGTAGGCACGGGAAGGAACAGAGGAGACGTTCTAGAGGCGTCGCGAGCGCCAACCCCCGAACCTTCTCCAAATCTCCATTCCCCCCTTTCTTAACACTCGCCGCCGCCGCCGCCGCCACAGAACTCCCACACGACATCCACTCCCTTCGCCCTGCTCTGGATTGAGTGATTAGCTTCTCGATTCGATCAGCACCGGGGCCAGCCGATCGATGGACGTGGACTCGGCGCCGGCGCTGAAGAGGAAGGGCGCGGACGCGCCGGAGCTGTGGCTGGACGACGACGTCGGCCCTGGGTTCCCGGTCGCCTCCCGCGCCACCAAGATCCGCCGCCTGGTACGTGCTTAGTGACCCAGTGCGGCTCCCTCTCCCTGTCTCCCCGTTCTCCCCTTCTCGAATTTTTTGCGCTAATCAAGCGGTGCCGGTTCTTGTGTTTGGTCGTTGGTGTGCGCAGGACCCGGACATGATGCCCGTCGTGCCCGGCGCGTTCGTGCCGCCACCGCCACCGGGAACGCAGCTGCCTGTGGCAGGCTTCGGGGTGGTGGAGGAGGCGCCGATGTGCGGCGACGTGGCGGTGGTGCCGGTGGACATGGCGACGGCGCCGCCGCTGCCGGCGAACGAGGAGCGGGCGATCGTCTTGTACCGGCCCGCCGAGGCCGAGCGCAGGCTGCTGCTCGGCCCGCTCCGGCCGGGCGGCCATCTCCGCGTCAGCCCCGAGTGGATCCAAGCGCTCAACGGTACGTGCCTCCGCGCCTTCCTCCCTTCCCTCGAGTCACGCTCGTAATTAATTTGGCCTCATGCCTCTTGGCTGCTTGGATCAAAGAATCTAATCCGCAAGTCGATCCGATTAAGCAGGCACGACGCTGCAGGAGGCGAGCAGCCGCCGCGCGCTGTTCGAGGGGCTCGCCGGAGCCGAGAGCTCCAACCTGGCCATGGTCCCCTGGGCGCCGCCCCGCGCCCAGGCGGCGTCCATGGCCGAGGAGATGATGGAGGCCGAGGACGGCGAGGGCGCGTCCATGGAGGTGGAGCAGGACAGGGCCGAGCAGCAGCTCCCGATGCCCCAGTGGCCGCAGCAGCAGCAGCACTACATGGTGCAGCAGCAGCCGATCCCGGTGGCGTGGTCATTGTGAAGTGCCGCCGGTGTAGTGTCTGGAGGAGAATCCGTAGGTGCAGGTGTCGGTAGTAGACTAGTAGTTTTGGTCTGCGCCACTGCTCTGGTTTCCATGGTGCGAGCAGATGAGGTGCGGAGAGCAGGAGACGGCCAGATGACACCGTCCGGTTTAGCGGGAGGGGGCGACGGTGGTCTCGTCAGTAGGTCCGAACACTAGACAGGAGAATGGATGGATAGCCTTCCAAGGGCAGCAAGATCAGTGTGGTTCTCTTCCATTTTTGTTTGGACCAGAGCAAGAGGAGGTGTTTGTTGTATCCTTGGGCCGTCCATGGCATGATCCTCTATCGTTTGTTCAATCGAGCCCCAAAGTCACAGAAAAGTTTACCAAAAAAGTAGTCCTAGTTGTGTGCATTTCGCCTTGCTCTGTTTTTCAAGTGCTCGCAGTTGAGAATTTTCTAGCACCAACGCTGAGATAAGTACTCCCTTCGATTACAAATACTCCCTCCGTTGCAAAACACTTGTCATGGTTTTAGTTTAAATTTGAACTGAATTGAAAACACTACAACCACACCAAGTAGTTTGGAACTGAGAAAGTAATATAAGATGTTCTAACCTTTTCTGTAAATGGGATGTATATATCACGTTTTATTGGAGTGCGGCGTTTTGGTGTCCGGGCTCAGACGAGCCCGGGCATGAACAGTAAAGCCATAAAAATAAAATAAAAATCAAATTTATTATGATGCAATATGCTCAAATGCGTGAAAATTATGCAAAATTTCATGAAGTTTGGACAAGCTAGAAGCTCGCGGCAAAAGAAAGACAAATTCTAGTTATGTGAGAAACATTTGAAAACGGGTCTGTCTAGGATATTCACTTTTTGTGGTCTTTTTTTTCCTAGTTTTTGTTTTTGTTTTTTGTTGCTGCATTATATATTTGTGCGAGCTTAGATGCGACATCCTTAAAAAACATCTAGATGTGAATTAGACAAACTGTTTGAGAACAGCACATTGTTTGTTCATAAATGCACATTGTTCAAGTATGATTTTGTCTTTTTTTACCGCGCGCTCTTTGAATGTTCAGACTTCATGAAATTTTGCACGAACATCACACACATGCACATCTTGCTTGTAAAAAGAATTCGATTTTTTTTAATTTTTTTTTACTATTTTAAATCATGTTACTGTTCCCGGGCTCCATCTGAGCCTGTGCACCGTAATGGACTATCGGTTTTATTGTGTTTGTTTTGTTCACTCATTTCGGTTTGTATGTAATCCATGTTAAAATATTTGTAAATGGAGAGTCTAACATTATGCGATGAACAAATAATTGTATACCTTCTTTTTACTCGAGCAAGTAAGCTTATGCTAATACGATGAGCCTAACAAAGCATAGAAGAATTAGTAACCCAAATAACAGAGAACTTACATACAACTCAACTCAGCGCACCAAAACTATCTAATCAAGCTCATGAAGCAGCCACGCGGTAGGAAAACGGAACATACAAGCAAGGTCGAGTTGTGGTGCCGTTGCAGTCACGATGAGGGTTCGCGGGGAAGGATCAATTCACCATTGTTCTCCACATTGTTATCATTAGTGGCAACTCCTATATATAAAAAAAAAAAAACTCCTATACCACATCTGTTGCAGTATTCAAGTATGAAGATTTCAAGTGTGAACTTTAAAAGATATCAATGTGATGCTTGAACTGAGATTGCTTACATTGCGTAAAAACTCCTCCTAGTTCCTAAAAAAAAATACTCCTACAAGTACAGATGCACGCAACACACAGATCCAATACAGTCAAAAGATCAATTTAAATTTCAAAAGAGGCACCATAGATTCGATTCCGCAATAGATTCAGAACTGCCATGGAGCTGGCAAACTTCCATAGTTCTAAAGACCTGAGCTTTCTGAAGTTACAGTCTGACCAGGCTCTACTGAGACTGAGTTGGGCAAGAAGTGTTGTTCGTGGCTTAAGAAATAGTACTCCCTCCGTTTCAAATTAGAAGATGTTCTAAACTTCCAGAATCTCCCTTAGGTTTAGTTTTCAGACTATTATGCACAACTTCCGTGCAGTGGAGCTTAATTACAGGAACGATGCATACGACTAGGAGTCCATGCTCCTTCAGGTCATCTGCATCTGTTGAGCCAAAGGGAGATTCTGGAAGAAACATCAATCAAACTAAGAGAAGGAAATAGCATATGATGCTACCCCTAAGCCTTCTGGATTTCAGTACTATGAGTGACAAGTAATTTTGGACAGAGGGAGAAATAAGTATAAGAAATACACCATGAACAGAATATATGCACACAAGTAAAGCAATCGCACCCAACCAGCAAAGACACATGCATTTGTTAACGAGGTTCGGCAATGTGCCTACGTCCCCGGGAGCCGAATTTCGGCGGCTCCATCCATATATTATCTTATCCACATTTAGGCAGTACATCAGCGGTATTATATACCCAGGTATTTAGTCTGTTTTCTGTACACACGACACAGCAGCCCATAGGACCATATTCACTTCAAGAGATTGTTCGCATTGTTGGTCTTATCGGATATGGGCGAAGCTGCTGTTGAACATGCCGCTGTGGGAAGCCTTGGGTGCAGGCTTGGCTACCTCAGGAGTGCCAAACACGTTCCAGAAGCGGAGGGTCTCATCCGCAGAAGCCGATGCTACCGTGCAACCATCAGGACTCTGCAGTTTGACAGCATGAGAGGACGATCAAACGACGAGCAGGTTAACATGTCCATAATATCTGCAAATGAAATGGCGAAAAGAATGTACCTGTGCCATGAAAAGAACACGGGAGGTATGGCCAGTGAGTTCAGCCATCTTGACCATCGAAGGGTACTTCCACAATGTCAGCTGGTTCTGAGTGAACCCGTGTGAGCTCAGCAGCTCCCTCTCGTTCTTGTTCCACAGAAGAGAGCACACCTGCGACCCGGTATCAACAGAGTTCAGGCATGCGCCGGTGTGCGTGTTCCAGAACTTGATGCATCGGTCGCTGCCGCCACCGCCAGTTGCCAGCAGGTTGCTCTGGAATGGGCACCATGCCAGCGCCTTCACAGCGGCCATGTGGTCCTCGAGCCTGTGCAGCCACTGGTTGCGGCCTGCAGACGGCATGGAGGATGCCATCGACACGTCCCAAATGTGCAAAAGGTTGTCGTTGCCACCGCTCGCCAGTTGCTGCCCTGAGCCAGACCACTTGAGCCCGCACACCTCCTGATTGTGCCCCTGGTACGTCTGCACGGCATGGTCCCTGATCCTCACGTCGTTGTTCACGATCCCGCCGTCCATGCCACCGGTCGTCAGGATGTTGTTGTTCCATGCCAGCGAACCGACCCTTGACTCGTGCACACCTTTCAGAGTTCTCAACTGCATACAAAGAAGAATGTAATTAAGCATCTGATCAAGCTCGTTAGGACATAGACAATATTTTGGGATGCTGGAAGTGTATACTACTAACCAGGCGGCTGGAGCTGGTGTCCCAGAGCTGGATGTCAGACGAGTTGAGCCCAATAGCAAGATGCCGGCCATCAGGAGCCCAGCTGACGCTGGTGATGGGGCCGTTGTCCTCCTCGACTGTCACGAGCTCAGATGTGGATCCACTGGAGGCGTCCCACAGGTACATGGTGTCGCCCAGCGCAATGGACAGCACGTTGTTGCTCCCCCAGTCCATTAGGTTGAGGTAGTAGTCGTCGACGAGGTCCGGTGCATCCAGAGTCCTCTCGGCAGACTGCAATTGTCAAGTGAAGAAGTGACATCAGTAACCACCACCAAATGCTACTACATATGTAGCTTCAATGCATTAGTAGAACCACGATGTATGCGCATACCTGGGGAATGTAGCGCCTCTGCTTGGCCGGCTTGGCCTGGTGAGAAGAAACCGTGTCGGCAGCAAATACGTTCTCTGGCTCCGGCGGCTTGTTCCTGAAGGCGAGGATCCGTGTCCGGTTGTTGAGCAGCTTCTCGGCCAGAAGCCTCCGGTAGGCCTCCTTGGAGGGGGATGCCACTGCGTTCTCCTTGTCCTTCTTGCCCTCCGTGAGCAGGTAGTGAGCCACGTCCATGTCCATCGCCGACCGATCCGGGATGAACCTGTCCCCCTGCACGCACGCACACAAGGGAAAAACACCCGGTCAGGCATTCCGTCGAACACCTTACGCGCACACGCATCTGCGGGATCTCGGATCTAAGAACTCACGTAGCACTTGGCCGACGGGTTGCGCGTGCTCAGCGGCGGCATGTAGGGGCGGGATCCGGCCTCCTGGAGCGGCGGCCGCTGCACGGCGGCGCGGCTCTTGCCGGAAGAGATCGAGCGGGAGCCTGCATCCATGGTTAGAACAGAAGAAAAAGAACAGGCAAACAAATAACAGTAATCGCAACAAGAAAAGGCGGCGCGGAACTGCAGAAGTAAACGCGGATCGATGGATCGATCGGGCAAAAATTAGCACAAGAACGAGCGGATTGGCGAGCAGAGACGGGGATCCCTCGAGAGCGAGAGGGCTTCGTCTCCCCCGGATCGGCGAGGGGAGGCGGCGGCGAGCACGAGAGGGAAGGCAGAGAGGGAGAGAAAGTCACAGATTGCTCGATGACTTGTGAGATTTAGGGATTTGATTGGGAGCGGTATTTGTAGGGGTCGACGACAGGGGCGCACGGCGGGAGGCCGCAAGCTCGCAACGGCTAGTTGCCAGGGAAGAGAGATAGGAAGAAGGGGAATTTAGATTTTGGTTCCTGTGTATATACACCTGATATGGAAAAATAATAATAACTAAAAAGTAAAAATGTTTTAAAGATTTTAGAATAAACTTGACTTTCTTTCACACTAGTATACAAATTTTCACGAATAAAAAATCATCAGTGTTGACTTCAGGGCAATATTTTTTATTTGCCACTATATTATAGTTCACTATTCACACTATTTTGACCGAAATTTTTGTCTTTTTTGAAAATAAGTTACGTATTTTTACTTTTTTTTGGAATTGATTTTACAAATACAAAGTTCAAATTTATTTCAAAA